TTTTAGTTGGAGTCTCTGTCGCCCAGACTGGAGTGCAGTTGCCGCTGCCGGCCGCCGCAGCCTCGACCTGCTGGGCTCTGGCAATCCTTCCGCCTCAGCCTTCCAAGTAGCTGGAATATGAACTCGTGTTCGCCTGGTTTCTCCACTTGTAAAGTTACTTTCCTTTTGCTTTCTATACAATACTCTTTGAAAGGAAGTAACTATAGTATACAACTAAAAAATGTGAAGTTATGCTACCTCTGCCCAATTCTACTTTTTTTTGGTATTTTTTATTATTGAGTTGTAAAAATTCTTTATATATTCTTCTGGGTGCAGTGACTCACACCTATAATTCCAGCACTTGGGGAAGTGGAGGCGAAAGAATTGCCTGAGTCCAGGGGTGTGAGACCTTGCCTCTACAATAAATCAAAAAATTAGCCAGGCATGGTGGCGCATGCCTGTAGTTTTTTTGTTTTGTTTTGTTTTGTTTTAGTTGGAGTCTCCCAGGCTGGAGTGCAGTGGCATGCACGCCCATGGCCACCCCAGCGTTGACCTGCTGCTGGGCTCTAGCAATCCTTTCACCTCAGCCTTCTAAGTAGCTGGAGCTACAGGTGTGCACTACCACACCCAGCTAATTTTTTTATTTGTTGTAGAGACAAGGTCTCGCCAAGTTGCCCGGGCTGGTCTTGAACCCGTGGGCTCAGGCAGTCCACTTGCTTCTGCCTCCCAAAGTGCTGGGATTACAGACTGAGCCACTGAGCTCGGCCGTGTCTATAGTTTCAACTACTTAAAAGCCTGAATCGGAAGGATCACTTGAGCCCAGCAGATTGAGTCGTAGCCATAAGTATGCCACTGTATCTCTAGCCCCGGCAACAGAGTGAAACTCCTATTAAAAAAAAATTATTTACATATTCTACATAGAAAATCCCTTATCAGATAGTTGATTAGCAGATATTTTTGCCTAGCCAGTGGGTTGTCTGTTCAATTCCTTTTTTAAAAAAGACAGTCTTATTTTGTTGCCTAGACTGGTCTTGAACTTCTAGGCTTTGAAAGGAAGTGACTGTAGTGTACATCTCCAGTCCTCCTACCTCAATCTCCCAAGTAGCTAGAACTACAGGCTTATACCACCATGTTTGGCTAATTTTCTAAAATTTTTTATAGAGGCAAAGTCTATATTGTCCAGGCTTGTCTCAAACTCCTGGCCTCAATCAACTGATCCTCCCTTCTCAATCCCAAAGTGCTAGGATTATAGGTATGAACCATCAAGCCTGGCAGATTTGTTTTCTTTTTTTTTGAATTGGAGTCTCACGCTGTCACCCAGGCTGGAGTACAGTGGCCACCACAGCCTTGACCTGTATTGTGAGTCTATTAATGTTTTAAAATGGAAGCTTCTTAAGACTATGAATTAGGCATGTATCTCCGTATTGTATTCAATTGTCCAGCATTCCTCTTGAATGCTATATAACATTTAGAGAAAAGAATTTGTTGAAAGTTACCTGTTTCTGCCAGATATACTTTTGGCCCTCCATCATATTTTGCAGAGGCGCAAAGTCAGTGGTATAATGTACTAATTTCTCAATTCTCTTTTGAGTTAGATATTTTTTGTTTTTGCTGTAGATGGCATGATAAATTTCTTGAAGGTAGTAGAGTAAATGATTTTTTTAAGATTGCATACTGATTTGGATTTATTTCTCTTCTACAGAAGGGAATGTGAAGATTGCAACTGAAAGTTTACTAAAATCCTCTGAAGAAGTGCAAGGTATGAAGGTCAGTGGGACTAAGATGGATAATAATGAAGGACAGAAGAATGGCAATGTGAGTAAAGGTCTCTCAACTGAGTGCAGCAAATACCCAGGAGTAAACAAAATCATGGCCAGTGGTGAGGTTTCAGAAACCAGCACATTAGTTACCGTAGAGTCTTTAACATTTATGGACGCTGGATTAACAGAAGCAACTCCTAAAGAAAAAGAATGTGAAGAATTAAAAACTTGTCCTTCTTGGTTATCATTATTACCAGGGAACAGTGCCATTTCCAAAGTGGACAATGGGAAGGAAGAGTTGTGTAAATTAAACCTTGTCTGTGAAGCAGATGACAATCACCAACAGAATCATGGCCATGATAATGAAAAACACAGTTCTACACGTGATAGTCCCACAGTCATGAGAAACATAGTTGTTATAGAATCCTTGGAAGAAAATTCTGAAATGTCGTGTTTCACAACAAGTTTGTCTGGTCTGGAATCCGGAAAAATATCTTTACAAAAGTGTGATTTTGAAGGTGATGGATTGCTAAAGGAATCTGCTGAAAAGACAGACAATTCCTATTTTGATAGGAACAATCAAAGTAAACACTTGGTTTCTAGAGAAGAAAATGAAGAACTGCTTTTGAATTCCAGGAGTGAAAGAAGAGAGCTCTTTCTTATTAATTCCAGGCATCCAGAAAAGGAGATTAGTGGTCATTGTTGTGTTGAAAAAGAGATGGTTGATTCCTCAAAAGAAAATAGCCACAGTAACGATTACATTCAAGACAGTCTCTGTGCAGAGAGCTCTGATTCTTTAATGCCCAACTGTTTTACTGAAGCCACAGAAATAAGGTTTAAAAAAAATGATTTAAAAATTACTTTAGACAGCTTGACAAACCTTGGTAGCTTGACAAACCCTGGGGACCATAGAGAAACTTTTACTAATATGAGCCATCCAGGTGGACACTCTAAAGAAAGCAATTTTTACTCCTTGTTGCAGATTGAAGATCCAAAACAGAGAACCACTATAGAGCCCAATATATTAAGTGAAAAGATTTACAGTAAAGACTCTTACTCTTTAGTCATCATCCAGAAAAGTCTGGAAGATGACACTCAGTTAAATGAAGCATCATGTAATGATTTTCTGTTTGAAGGAAAATCCATTGTGAGTTTAATGCCAGAGAATCAGATAAGTCCTATAAATAAGATAACAAAACCTAAAAAAGATACTGCTCAGTTACCACCATCCCCAGAATTTGATTACAGACTTGAGTTAGAAAAAGCTATACAGGCCTCCCAGGATGATTGTCCACATTTAGGGGAACAGAGCATTACCTGTGAGATGAGTGAACTTTCTTGTACCAATGAACTGGTTGTAAGCAAAGTAGACAGTGAATGTGTTTTAAATCAACAAGTGTCCCTTAATTCTCAAGAATACACAAAGTTGCCAACGGACTCCCTGCTATATAAAAACAAAGAGATGCCTTTAGCAGCAAGCAAAGATGCCCAACAGAGCTATCACCCTCCATTAGAGGATGAAGCAGGTGTCATTGCTGATATTCAAACCATTCCCATTCAGACAAAAGTAAGAGACATTTCTCCACCAGGTGACAAAACCTGTGGTGCCTCTTTAAACAATCCCACTTTAGACATCAAACCAAGAAGCCTAGAGAGAGGAGAAGAAATGGCTGATTCAGGAACAAAAGTTCTACCTTCCAGGTTTCTCTCAAGTAAGAAAGAAGCAGCTGGCTTTTTTCAAGTGGTCTCTGTTGTTCAATCTCAGGATATCCATAGCTATCATTGTGTAAGAGAAAATGCACTAGAAGAAAACATATGTTCTACTTGTTTTGCTTTTGAGTCTAGCAAAATTAGCCTAAAAGTTGACTCTTTGACAAAAAATAGTGAATCTGCATCTCAGCACAGAAATCACCACTCCCAAGCGACAGGAGACTCTGTGGAAAGTAGCAGGTGTAAAGTAAGTTATGCATCAGAGGAAGGTGAACTTGATGGGAGAGAAACTAATGGCAGCCTTCCAGGAGATAAGATCAGAAACAAAATGACAGCAGGCATGTTAAATAGTAGAGTTTCAAACAAAACCATTCACGCCACCAGTCACATCAAACCCAGTGAGGAAGGGCTGGAAGGAAAGGAACAGGATATATCCCAAAAGACTGTATTTTGTGAATGTAACATCTCTGATGGTGCTCCGCAAGAACTAAAACAGTCCGCAAACATTCCAAGTCCCGAAAAATTGTTGAACCAGTCTCCTACTATTATGTTCTCCAATTTTAAAAACATGAACCAAGCAGTTGAAACTCTTGATCAGAAGGCAGCTGAAGTTCTTGACTTCCAGAGTAATCAAAACAGACCAGATGAATGCAAAAGTAAAGATCAGCCCGCTAAGGAGACGCTAGGTAGTAACCAGAGAGAAACTGTCACAGAGCCTGATGGGGTTGTCAGCCACAACCAAAAAGATTTTCTGGTTAGTTCAGGCATTAATAACTCACTATCTAGTGATAGTCCAAAGAAAGGTAATTTGAAGGGAGTCTTTGAAAGTATTTCTGGTCGTGAGGAGTCCACAGACAGTATGGTAGACATCGTCTACACAGAACGTAGTCATAAGCCGACAGAAGGTATGCTGGGCATGAAATTATCCAGAACACTTGATAGTGGTACAAGGCAACATAGACTGGTGCTCCAAGAAACCTCAAGGAGTACCTTGTCTCAGAGAGGAGAACTGAATGCTGCATTTATAGGAATAACTGACCAGTACTCAAATTTCTCAGACACCACTGCTTCTACAGTAGAATCTCTTGAAATAAAAAAATCATGTGAAGGAAAAGTATGCAGATTTTCTAAAGGTTGTGAAATAGAAAAGTATTCAGACTCTTCTGTCCATGAGATAGAGTCTATTGCAGATCATGAACCAATTATAAGAATATTAGGTAGAGTAAACAAGTCTTTAAATCATATCCATCATGAACATCAAGGTAAAGGAGCATCTCTGGGAGAAACACAAGAAATGACTGAAGGATCAAGACTAGAAATACATTCTGATCTTTGCAAGGAAAATACCTTTGGAATTTTTTTTAAAGAGTTGATGTCTTCTAGATGCCAAGATGAGAACTCTGTCTCCCTAGAGAGCCCAAAATCCATTGAGATAATGCCTTTGTGTCTGTCTTCGCAAGAAAAGTTAGAAACTAATATTAATAGTGAAGAAACTGACCTGAAAAATCCTGTTAAGCCAAAAGATGGTGAAATGCTTTGTGAAAACATAAAGGACTGCACAGTCCTGCCTGAGACGAAGGAAGAAGTACCAAGAGATATGAGTAATTCTAGTGAAGGAACCAGCATATATATCATTGTGGAAAAGAATGCTTGCAAAACTTGTCATCCTCATGAGAATTCTACTGATAGACATTTGCCTTTGACAATGGAAACAGAAACTAAAGTGAAAGGAGAAGAAGTAGAAGAATATCAGAGGGAACCACTGGGTCATTTAACTGTTGGGGAGGAATCTGAGGAGATGATTTCCAGAAAAGATGATGATGGTAATAATATGAGTGAAATTACCCAGACTCATTGTAAATGCCAGAAGATCCTTAATGATGCTGTAAAACAGCAGAGCCAGAGGGTTTTGCTGTTGCAGAAGGAAGAGGAATATATGCATCAAAAAGAAGCGCATTCGATACTGGAACGAAACACATCATCTGATATGTTGTTACACGATGTGCAAAATGAGAATGAACCTAAGGTTGACAAAAATGAGTCTACCATGATGAAAGAAATTACTCTAGCAAAGCTGGCCAAGGGCAACATTACGGCATGGATTCTGAAGTTGGAAGACCAAAAGGAAGAAAGCTTATGTCATTCATTAAAGAAGGACATGGCGTTGTATACTGGTCCTTGCCTTCCGGGTACCCCCAGGAAAGCACAGGAGCCCCACTCTGCTGAGTGTGATCAAATACATGGTGCCTTTGTGAAGAAAGGAGTGTTTCCCTTAAAGAAGTATACCCACCGAACATGTAAGAAGGTTTCCTGTCAGGAGCAAGTCAGCATGGGGAGAAAAATAAGTAAAATCAGAAGTTCTGCCTTTTTAAAGAGTTCCTCCAATCCCGTCCCCTCAAAAGCACACAGAGTTCTCAGTTCATGTGCTTTGTCTGCACCTACACGATTAGAACCTGAAACAGTACCTACCAGGAGCTTGATTAGCCACATACCAAAGCAGAAGACTACACCGTACTATCCCTTAAGGAGCCTGAATTTTAGGAAACTTACCAAAGAATCAGCCTTACTAAACAAGCTGTCCATCCTTGCCTCCAAACTGGTCCCAGCTGCAAAGACCCAGAAACTGAGATATCAGCGGTGTTCCTCTGAACTTCCAGTGGCTAAAACCTACAAGCACCTCAGATATAAAAGACTCCTGGATGGATTTTCATACAACACAATGCAGCTTAACCCATATTTGGCAGCTAGTAGATGGGATAAGAGGCCTAACAGTGAGCCCTTGGCACATTATTCTCTTGAAGCCATCAAAATGAGCTTCATAGATCTGAGCAACAAGATGCCGTCACTGCTGTTTGGTTCCAAAATCTTCCCAGTATCCTTTCACATGAAATCTGGCTCAGATTACATAACTGAGTCCTCAAGGACTTTTCCTGAGCATTGTGCTCCAGCAAGGCTTGCCTTAGGACAGGCCCCCCAGTGCCCGTCTCAACCTTCCAAGTGGACCTTTTCTTTCTTCTTATCCCATGGTTGCCCTGGGATGGCCACATTCAGGGAAGACACTGGCCTCCATAGTCAGGCATACACTCAGGCTCCTCCCCAGCCTCCAGCTCCTCTCGAAGACTATGGAGGCACTGCCATAATCCAGACCAGAGCAGATTGCTCTGTCCTTGGCCTTCACACGCTTCTAGCACTTTGTTCTCCAGGATGTTACCGAATCTGGACAAAAAAACGGAACTTCTCCAGTCACATGCCCACTATACAGAGGTTCTTTATGACCCAGTTTACCCAGGGTTTGAAAGGGTTAAGATCTCCAGCTTCCATAGCAGACAAGATCTTCTGTTCTCTACCCTACTCAGTGGGCAGAGTGCTGTCCATTTGGAGCCAGCATGGGCCTTCTGCCTGCTCCTTCGAAATCTCTGCTCTTCATTCCACTCACAGCAAGCGGCAACCAAGTCTGAGCACAACAAGCAGGTAAAATCTGTCCCATCTTCTTTGCAAATCTCCCATGTTTGCTTCCTGCCAGAGGGGCCTACTGGAAATGCAAGGCTATCTGGCATCCTCTTTTTGTCTGCATTTTCTATTTACCTTGCCAAATCTCTGCTAAGAAAATGCAACAATAATTCTTAAGTATGAACACTCCCCTAATTTTCCTGCAGATTCTACTCCTGTATTTTGCACAATTCTTTTTTCTGTCCATTTCATTCTTTAAACCATCAAGTCTTTTTAATTTTCTTTAATCCAAAAAGCCCTCACCTAGCAAAGAACAAACATCTATTACAAGTGAGACTATAAATAGTGGCAAATAATTGCTTGGAACTATGTCTTGTTCACAAAACATGATATAGGCAGCACCTAATTCAGTGTTTGTTGTGTAGAGGATAAAGAATAGGCCAGGCTCGGTGGCTCAGCCTGTAATCCCGGCACTTTGGGAGGGCAAGGCGAGTGGATTGCCTGTGTCCAGGGGTTCGAAACCAGCCTGGACAACTTGGCAAGACCTCATCTCTATAATAAATCAATAAATTAGCTGGACGTGATGGTGCACACCTATGGTTCCAGCTATTTGGGGAGGCTGAAGTAGAAGGATCACCTGAGCCCAGCAGGTCAAGGCTGCGGTGGCCCGGAGCGTGCCACTTCACTTCAGTCTGGGCAACAGAGTGAGACTCCAACTCAAAAAAAAAAAAAGAATAAATACCTTTTTAGTAAATGAATAAATTATAAATCACTAAATCTGGTTTATGAACCTCTGTTTTTCTTTGTGCAGTGCAGAGAAGTCAAAAGTTGGCATTTACCTACTTTTTAGTTTTAGGATTTATAAAATTTTGGGTAAACTGGGAAAAAGTTCTTGTGGTTTAACTGAGACTAGTTGTAAATAATTTTATCAATATCATTATATCTTCTTTTTTTTCTGTTGCCCAGGCTGGAATGCAGTGGCACGCTCACGGCCACCACAGCCTTAACCTGCTGGGCTCAGATGATCCTTCCGCCTCAGCCTTCCGAATAACTGGAATTACAGGTGCACACCATCTTACCTTGGCCTCCCAGAGTGCTGGAATTATAGGCGTGAGCCACCATGGCTGACCTTCATTATACCTTTTTTTTTTTTTTTTTTTTTTTTTTTTTT